GTGTTAGTTTTGGCTCTCGTCCTCAAAGGGAAGAGAATCTTTTCTCCCTGAAAGAAATCTTATCTCCCTGGAGAAAAACTCAGAAGATCCCCTTCTCTAAATAGGATATATATAAATATATACACACATTATGTATCAGGCTCTTGATTCTAGAAGAGGGAGTCTTGGGCCCTTGAAGGCAGGCTTAACACCCTTAAGAAAGTCTCAGACTCCACTGCTGGGTGGTCCTGGGCTGTGTCCCTCTGAGAAGGAACCAGGTGGGGGGCGGGGTGGTTGTCCTGTACAGATGGTATCAGACCCCTGAAAAGGATTTGGGTAACTCAGGAACGCTCAAAATTCCCCTGAGGTCTCCACCTTACCTGTGCTCCCTGGAGGAGGAGTCTTAGACCTTTATCCCAGAGGAAAGGAAATCTCAAGGCACGGAACACAAACCAAGGTCCCTTGGAATCATAAGACTCCCCTCTCGGGAGGCAATCCCACCTAATGGTCCTACATGATGAGGTCTCAGGGCCCGAATGATGGCTCTGGGTCGGTCCCAGAAGAGACCACAGACTCAATCCTTAAGTCCGCCATCTTATTTGGGGACTCTAACCCCCAAGTCCTTGGAGGGGGGTGGGGAAGAGTGTGCCTCTGGCCCCCACCACCAGAGAATGCCAGAATCCGGGAGAAGACGTAGGTCCCTTGAGACGGTCTCAAACAGCCTTCCTGGAGTCCCTACCCAGGCTGGGGAATCCCACCCGCCATACCCACTCACCTGTTACCCCAGCCCATACCTGCTCAACGGTTGCGGGGTCCATAGCCTCGATGCGAGCTGCAGCCGCCTCATACTCGTCTTCACTGTTATAACCTGCGCCGACCTCCTCACGCTCTGGACTGCCCCCTCCAACCGCTCCGACCCCGGGGGCTTGACGCCGCCGCTTGCTATGGCCCGGCCCGGAGCAGCAACCGCCAACGCCTACGGCTCCGCCCACGCCCACCACCACACCCGCCGCGCCCACACCCGCCGCGGCTGCACCCAGCGCGTCACCTGGGCCGCCGCCGGGACCAACAGGGCCCCCGCAAGGAGGAGGAGAGGCCTGCTGTGGCCGCGGACCCGCCACGGCGCCAGGCGGCACGGCCAGCGCCCAGCGGTGAAGCGCTCCCGGAGGCCCCGGTAGCGGGCCCTGAGGCGGTGGCGAGGCCCGAGGACGGGCCCCCACGACGCCCGAGTCACGGTCGCGGTCGCCACCCCCCACACCCGTGCCGCCGCCGCCCACGCCCACACCCCCGCCGCGGCGCGGCGCCGGGGGCAGCGGCCCGGGCGGCGGCGGTTCGTTGGCGGGGTCGGCGTCGGGAGGCGGCGGCTTCTTTTTGGGGAGAATAGTCATGGCGGCACCGCCAAGTACCCCCCAGCAAACCCGGCGCGGGGCACGCTGGGAGAGAACCCGGATGAGGGGGCTACTGTGGTGCGCGAAGCACGATGGGATCGGCGGGACCCGGATAAAGAGATTGTAGCACGGGTTCGAGAACGGTCGGTGGCGCGCGGGTCACGCGGCAGGAGAACCCGGATGTTAAGTCCTAGATGAAGGCACCGCAGCGGGTCTGTCGTAGTCTTCTCTCCAAGTCCAACAAGTTTATTGCTACACTCGCTCCTTCCGGCCTGCTGCTTCAAAAGAAACAGAACCAAAACAAGCACCTCTTCGCCCCGCCCCCTCGCAGGTTCTTGAACTACCGGGTGGGGCCCCTGGGCGCTGCGCAAGCGCGCCAGGGCACGGCCCCGCCTTTCGTTCGGAAGTACGTGGGCAAAATCTTCGCCGCCGCCACAACAATCGCGGGCACCAACCAATCGAAGCAGCTGCGTGGGTCCTCGATGACGCCCACGGACCAATCAGATGCGAGCGATCGCCCTCCCGTGCTCTCTGTCTCAGATTTCAGTCAAAGTCGGCGTTCTCGTTCCTTGCCTTTATTCTCGTCCGCCCCGTCGCGTTCTTCTCTCCCCGAGGTTCTGACTCGTGGGCGGAGTACTAGTACAGGACAGCGTAGCCAGCCCCGTGCACGACAATTTTAAAAGCGCCTCGCCGCCAGACTTCCAACTTGGCCGCAGTCAGCCGGACTGACTGGAAAATATCAACACTCCCAGAGCATAGCCCTCCCCTGAAGCGTCAGTTCCGGTCCCACCCACCTGCAAATCCACGTCTAGTGGGGAGGCGGGCGCCACTTCACCCTGGTAACAGGCCGAGTTCTGCGGTGACTGGTTAAGAGGAGTTGTCACTCACTTTGGGCCGGCCAACCCTGGGGCAGAAGTGCACCGTGGGGACCTTGGGTGTTTGGGAAGCAGACACGCCTTCTTTGGCTCCGCAGTGCTCTCGCCCTCGCGTTGACCTGCCCGCCCCTGTGGCTAGTGCGCAAGCGCAACACGCCTTTCCGACGCCCCCGCCCCCCCTCAGCAACTGAGTTTACCTGGATTGAGCAAAAGTTTATGAACCAGCGCTGTCACCAGTTAGTGCTTTGCAAGGGGGTTGGTAAAATCCCTGGTACTGAACAGTTGGAGAGCTACAAGCTAATCGTAGCTCTGCCCCTTCTGTCTGAGGGCTCTTTGGCAAGTCATTTAACATCCACCCCATCCGCAATTTTTCAAAAGAATTTATTTATTTTTCTAGTAATTGCTGTACCCAGCCAGAGTGGAGCTTGAACTCACAACCCCCGAGATCGAGTCCCATGCTCTTAGGACTAAGCCAGCCAGGCGCCCCTATCTACAATTTCTAATCCTCTGTAACATGAGAATGGTAATTATGATTTAAGGATCAGTGATTAATGCCTGCAAAGGGTATAGTGCTGTGCCTGGCACATAGTAAGTGCTTAATAAGTTAGTTTGAATGGCAGTGCAAGGAAAAGGATCCCAGGGTTTGGAGTCAGGAAGACCTCAGTTCCAGACCCTGATGGACCGTTACCAATTCTATGATCTTGGGCGAGTCACTGTGTCTTAAATTTGAGGTTACCCGTGGAAAATAGGAATGATAATGCCTGCCCAGACTACCTCAGGGAATAGTTATGGCGTTCAGATAGGTTTATGAACCAAGAAGTTGTTTTGAGAGGTGAGGGCTTGCTGCCGGTCTTGGGAGTCAAGTCATACATGTTGACTGAAAGATGATTAGAAAGCTCTTCTGAGTGCCATCTAACCTTGTTCCTTCAGATGCTGACCTTGGTTGAAGTTCTTCCTTGAAGGGTGTCAGTTACAAATGGCATGTTGTGTTTTCTGCTCTGAAGACTTCATGAGACAGGACTCAAGTTTCCTGGGCCTACTGTGTTCAGGGCACTATGCCAAATGCCTAGGCATATTACCATATTGAATCTTCTCATGATCCTCTCACTTGACCTCTATTTCCTACTAGATATGTCCAGCATTACATGTCTAAAATTGAATTTAGGATAATCATTGTAGCTAATCTTCACGAAGTACTTTCTCTGTGCCTGGCACTCTGTGCTAACAGCTTTGATGTTCCTTTTGACAGTGAGTGCCCCCCACTCAGCCTTTGCCCAAGCCAGAACCTGGGAGTCAACCTTGTCTGCTCCCTCTTCCTCAACTCCCACATGCCTGTCAATCCCAAGTCCTGTCAATTCCACCTCTCAAACCTCTTAACTCTCCAACTCTTACCACCACTACATGGTCCAAGCCACCATCACTCACCAAGTGGACTACCACAAGAGCCTCCTCACCACCCTTCCTCCCGCCAGGACTGTTTCTCTAGAATCCACTGTCCACAGGCAGAGCAATCCTTCTGAAATGCAAACCTCATGATGACTCTCCTGTCTACAAGCCTTCAGAAGTCCCCGTTATCCTTAGGATAAAGTCCAAAATCTGTATCATAGCTTCAAAGGCTTTTTTGTGATCTGGCCTATCTCCACATCCCTACTCTCACCATAGCCTCACACTCTCCTCCCCAGCTGAACCAAACTAATTTCAGTTCTCCGAAGGCCCCGAGCTTGCCCCCTAACCTCCAGGTCATAGCACATGCTCTCCTGTCTGCCTGAAACTTTTATCCTTTTCCCTGGCTAAATCCACCTCATTCTTTGGGTGTTGGCTGGATTAGGTCCTCCTGCCATCTGCATGCTTCTGCAATCCCATCAATCTTAGTTCCACAACACTAGACTGTAATTGCTTAATTGTCGGCCCTCCATGCTCACCTCTGTCAATCATAGACGATGTCTACGTTGCCCATCTTTGTATCCCTAGGGCTAGCACATGGTATGCAGTTAATAAATATTTGGTGAATAAATGGTTATTATTTTACAGATTAGCAACCTGAGGCAAGAGAAGGTTGAAGTGACTCTCTCACCCGGGGCTTGGAACCCAGGTCAACCCCAATCCAAGGTCTGTCTTCTTGGTGCTCCACAAAGCTCAGTCACACACTAGCCAAGTGTATCCAGTAGCCCAGCAGAGACAGTGCAGGGGATGTCCACAAGGAAGGGTGAGCTGCCAAACTTGACAGATGCTTTCTTTCTTCTTCTTCTTTTAAAATATTGAATTCTTTTTTTTTTTTTTTAAGTAAGCTCTAGGCCCGATGTGGGGCTTGAACTTAGGAACCCGAGATCAAGAGCTGCATGTTCTACTGACTGAGCCAGCCAGGTGCCCCTGAGAGATGCTTTTAATTAGGAATCAGTTCAGAGCCATTGGCTGCCAGGAAGCCTGGGGTTTAAGTCTCCTCTGACCAAGTGTGTGCTGCTTTGGGTCTCAGTTTCCCCACCTGTGAGTAAGAGAGCTGGAGCAGATGAGTCCTAGGGGCATATCTCAGGGCTTCCTGGCCTGCCTCACTGGCTGTAGATTCAGCTCTTCAAACCACCCTCTTTAATTCCTCCTAGATTCCCCATCTTCCAGAACATGTCACCAACCACTGACCTCCCAGAACCTAGACCGCAACCTGCCCTTCTCCGGTTGAAAGGAATTGAAACCAGTGTACATTCCACCCCCCCCCCCCCCAGCCCGACCCAGCCTCCAAATTCACAGAGCCAGGAGGTACTCATCCTCGTCTCTCCTCTCAGGTTTTATTGACTGATGGAAACTACATCTTTGTCAGCCACCAGCTCCACGGGGACAGTGCTGGGGACAGGGAACCTGAGATGATGCCAGATTTCAGCCTGAGAGCAGACACAGAGTTCTGGAAGGTGACCCAAGAGGGAAAAGAGAGAGGAATATGTGAAAAGGCTTTGCGGGGGAGGAGGAGGAAGAGATCAAGAAGTTCCTCCTGCCCCCTACAACTCTCAGAGTTTAGGAACAACCCAGGCCCCATCCCCAACACTTCTGGACTCCTGCCCAAGAACTTGGAATCATCTATGATCTCCAAACACAGCCCAGCTCTCACTGACTGCTAGGCTCTTATCTCAGCCAGTCCAGACTCCAGCCCAACCCAAGAGGGAAGCAAACCAGGGAGAAGGGGACGGAGGGGTTGGAGGTGGCCCCCCTGGTTAGGGCAGATCTAAATACTGCAGCAGCCTGGGCAGAGCCTTTGCATAACATCACAGCAGCAGCTGCTATTGCTAGAGTTTGCTGGGGGCCCAGCACAGGACGGGGTTGCAGGGACCCATTTCCAGCAGCCAGGAAAGGGGAGTGGTGTTTGTGCTCTCTGTGTGTATTGGGAGAGGCAGCCTGACCCCTGAGCCAAGGTGGGGGGTGGCAGGTCACTGCTGAGGCCACAGCCCAGGAAGCCTGTGGTTGCATTCCAAGCTTCAGAATCAGGGAGCTGTTGGGCTCAGTGGAGGGTGGGGAAAACTCCTAGAGGCCAGCTCCAAGGTGAAGGTTCTATTCTCTGAACCCCCAAACCTCCACAGCCCAGCCAGAGAGAAGAGGGAACCTCATCTCTCTTTCTCAGGCCAGAGCTGAGATGTCAGGTGGGAGTCCCAGGGGCCCAACAGGAGGAGCATGCAGGAGGCCAGCGAGGGGAGAGAGGCCAGCCCCGGTGTGCTGGGGCAAGGAGGCTGGGGGGCCTGAGGAAGCCCAGCACTTCAGCAGCCCCCAGGACAAACTGTCGGGGGTGGGGAAAGTTTCCCCTTCCCTGGCTGCTTCCCCATCAGGTGAGCCGTTCCATCAAACTGCATTGCATAGTTCTCAGTGGGGGGAGGAGGGGCAGAAGGGGTCCCCAGGCCTGTCCCTCCCTGCCTCCCAAAAATATGGCTTTGGAAAGGAGTCCCCAAGAATTGAGAGGGCCCTCTGGACAGGCGGACCCACCGCTCACAGGGAAGAGATCTTGACAGTCTCCGGGAGGAGGCAAGGGGTGCCCAGGCTGGAGTTCCTGAGGGTGCTGCTGGCCCCACCGCCACCACCAGGGGAGGAAGGTTGGCTCTCATCTGGGGTGTTGGCAGGAGGGGTAGGGATACTGATGATGGCAGCCACGAAGTCCCGGCTGTCGCAGTTCAGGTCAAGGCTGTCGTGGGGCTTGGCATTGAGGCTTGAGCGGCTGTGCATAAGGGTGGGGAGGTGGAAGCTTCTTAAAAGGTGCTCTTAATACTTGCTACAGCAATCGTGACATGTATTGAGTGCCTGTTGGGTCTCTGGCTCTGTTCTAAATGCTTCGCCTCCATCCCCCCATTATGGTGGTGCCCAGTGAGGGCTCTGGGGTCAGGTGGTCCTGGGTTGAAATCCCAGTCTTACCTTGGCCCCTCTAAATCCCTCTTCTCTCTTTCATCTGTAGCATGGGAATAACAGAGTTGCCTACCTCGTAGGGTCCTTGCGGAGATTAAATGAGATAAGAAGTGCTATAAAGTGCTCAGCCCAGAACATAATGAGCACGCATAGAAATACCAGTATTTCTTACCTCATAGGGTCACCGTGGAGATTAAATGAGATAAAAAGTGCTACAGAGTATTCCACATAGTGCCCGGAGCATACATACATAAGGAGCATACATACCAGAATGTTCTCCATCATGGTTACTCCTTACGATGCCAGACCCTCATAACGATCAGTGTAAGAGTTACATGACCTGGTCCTGTTCCTTTCTGATTTGGCTTCCCACAACTCTCCCCCTCACTCACTCCACTCTACTCACAGGAGCTTCTTGGCTGTGTCTCTAACACGCAGATCCATTCTTGCCTCAGGGCCTTTGCACAGGCTGTTTGCTCCCTCCCTCATCTTCTTCCGGTGTCACCTCAGCAAAGCTTCTCCATACCCCATTCTACACCCTGTCCCCCATCCCCAGTTTATTTTTCTTCTTGGTACTTAACACACCTTATTGTGTACGTGCTTGTTTATTAACGGTCTCATCCCACTAGAATATAAATTCCAGAATGTCAAGGAGCTCTGTCTGTTTACTTTGCTGTCTGAAATGAACTCAACTTGTAAACTCCTACAGTGAACTCCAAAGTGCCTGAAAGTGTGCCTGGCATATAGTAGGTGCTCAATAAATGTTGGCTGAAAGAACCAATGAAGAACAACTTCCAGGCAAGAGAAGCCCAAGTTCCCCACATAGAGAAGTCCGGGCTTGAGCTTGGCTTGCTGGGCCAGAAGTCAGGACATCTCAGACCGCCATCCCCCGCACACCCCACCACCCAGTCTCAGCTCTGAGCTTCCCCTAGGGGTAGCCAGCAGGTGGGGGTGCTTACCTCTGAGGGGCAGGGCTTCTCCGCAGCCCTGCCAATGTGTCCAGCTCCTGCATGCTGCCACGACTGACTGAGGCCGTGGAGTTGGCAAGGCGAATGGCACGGCGCTTGGCCCTGCGGGGACAGCAGGAGGACAGCAGGCTGCCAGGCCCCACTGCCTGGGAGGACACGGAGGTGCTGCGGCTGGTGCGGCCCCCCAGCGAGACAGCGCCCAGAGCCTCACTGAAGGTTAGCTCATCTGTGAACTCATGGCACTGTGGGCAGAAGGGAGGCACGGTCACGAGGCAGCACACAGGAACTGACCCCAGCCCTCGGCCTTTGCTGAGGCCACTCCCTCCTTTCTGGAAGTATCTCTTGCTTCCCTTCCTCTGCCCACCCTTCAAGGCTCAGCTGTACTGGGGCCTCTTCCAGGAAGCCCTGTGGGATTTCCACAATCAGTAGTGAGCCTCCTATCCCAGGGAGGGAACTGGCTGGGCTGCGGAGGAAGGCCCCTCCTTCTGTCGCCCCCCCCCCACCCCGCCTTTAGGCCTCACCGTTGTCTTCTCTAGACAGTGAAGGAGGTGGTGATGTTGTTGCTCGAAAGCAGAACGGTTCCGGACACACAACGCCTGTTCCTCCCCACTGCTGCTGTCCTGGGGTGGACGGAGCAGAGGGACGAGGTCAGAACCTTCCTCCTCCCGCCACTTCTCCCCCGCCACCCAACCCCAAGGCAGGCCCCTCCCCACCTCAAGGCCTCCGTTCTGCTTGTACTGTAGGAAGGCATTGGTGGTACCACTCTTTGCCAACCGGATCCTTGCCAAGCGCACCTTCTACAGAGAAGGGAGGAGACAAAGGGTCAGGTGGGTAGACACAAGAGCAGACTGGCTTGGGGCACGGGGAGCAGGAGGTACTCTGAGGGAAGAGGCTGTTACCTGCTGCGCTCGGCGCTTGTCAGCACGCTGGTTCTGGTGGTAGATGCGGCTGAAGTTGGACACGATGACCGGCACAGGCAGCGCAATGACCAGGACACCGCTGAGGGAGCAGATGGATCCGAAAATCTTGCCAGCAATGGTGCTGGGCACCATGTCTCCATAGCTGGGGCCAGGGGAGGGAAGCCGAGGTTAAGAAGAGTGCCCACACACCCCTCAGTCTTCCACACCATCCCATCCAGCCCAACACACTCTGCGACCCTGGCCGGGCACTGAAACTCTCTGAGCCTCAATTTCCCGCTCTGCAAAATGTGGGGAAAGACCTCTCTGGCCACTGGTGGGGGTCAAGGGAGAAATTGGCCCTTGGCCCCTACCATCTGCTGCCCCCATCTGAGTTGCACATCTGAGTCAGCTGGAAATCTATTAATACCAAACAGAGGAGAGAAGGAGGAAGTCAGAGGCAGTAAATATAGTCTCCTGGGGAGAAAGTCCAAGCTGAGTCCTGGGAGCAGTGCTCTGTTGGTTTTGCTTCCATCTGTCTTACCTTCTCTAGGTAGGACCCCTTCTTATTACCCCAGAAGAAGCCTTGAAACTCTCCTCCCATGAAAAAATAGGGGGAGCCTTGAAACTCCCTCCTCCCTTTTCTTCATGCCATCTCCTCTTCCCTGGGGATGGAGCAATGCCAATCTTACCCACTTGTGTCACGGGGTCGGGGTGGGGGGGACCCAAGCTTAGGGAGGTTCCACAGCTGACTTGCTCGAGATCGCCCAGCATACTTTTGTTCTGAACAGGGGACCAGTGAGATCCCCTCCCCTCTGCAGTCCCAGCCTCTAGGCCTTCTCTCAGTCCTTGTCCCCCTCCCCCCCAAGGATGGCCGTTCCTTATTTCTTTGACTCATTTAAAAGTCTCTCCAACTTGGCCATTTCTGGTCTGTGATGTGTCATCTCAGACTGTGTCCTCAACTATGAGACACAGGCAGCTGTCCACCCTCTCAGGGTTGCTGTGAGGACTCATTAGGGTAAAAGGCACTCAAGAACCCAGTTCCAACCCACTCTCAGGGCTCAGTATTTGTATGTCAATCCAATTCTGAACCTCCAACCAGAATTAATTTCTACTCCTTAGAAACCCGAAAGCCATTTCTCTGTAGCTCTGCTAAAACCCCAGCGAGCCCACTTCACCCATTCAACAGATCCCAAGCAACTGTACACCTAATTCCAGCAATGGAAATTTAGAGAAGGAGCATGGTATGTGCCCTAAACAATGTCTTTAAGAACAACATGAGTTTGGTGATTCTGTCTGATGCCTTTATCCCAACTTGTTCCCTCTCAAGGATTGACACTAAAAAAATAATGCTGAAAATATCTCAACCTGGAGAACATCAAGGAATCACAATGTCACAGAGGTAGGACCCCATACGGCAGATGATTCTGGAGGTTTGAGAGACATGGGTCCTCAAGGTGGGAAAAAGGAGGTGGTAGAACGCCAGTACCTAGGTATCCTACACCAGAAACTTTCAGAGAACTTTCACAACCGTGAGGTCACAGAATCCCCTCTAGATGACGAAGGGATCAACATTTCTCATTTGCCACAGGGGGTAAACAGGCCCAAAGAGAACAAGGTCAACAGAAAGAGTGCAGCTAAGACAATCTTTGGAACCCAAGTCTCCTGACCTGGACAGTGAAGGCATTGTCAGACCTGCAAGGGATTTGGAGATTAGTCCAACTCCCTTTGTTTTCAGAGAAGAGCAGGCAGAAGCGCAAATCGAGAAAAAAGAGATCTTACTCTTACAGAGAAAGGTGAGTGTAACTGATCGGGCAGCTCCCAACACCGGGTCTGCACTCACCCGAGGGTGGTCATGGTGACAATGGTATACCAGAAGGCCGCAGGGATGCTAGTGAAGTTGGTCTTGTTTGTGCCCTTCTCAGCATAAAACATGACCGTGGCGAAGATGATGATGGCCATGGTAAGGGAAAAGAGGAGAAAGCCCAGCTCAGAGGCACAGCTCTTGAGTGTGTAGCCCAGAATCCGCAAGCCCTGCGAGTGCCTGGAGAACTTGAAGATGCGGAACACCCGGAATACACGCAGGGTGACAAAGGCGCCCGAGACATCCTCGTTCTTGGGCACGAAAAGCCCGATGTAGTAGGGCAGGATGGCCACCACGTCGATAAGGCTCATCACACTCCGCAGGAAGCGGCACCGGCTGGGGGCGGCGAAGAGCCGCAGGAGGTACTCGCCCGTGAATATGAGCACGCAGGCCGTGTCCATGCAGAAAAAGGCTAGGGGGAAGCGGTCGCCGCAGGGCTGCTCCCTCGGGGGCCGCCGCGCGGGGCCGCGGCACGGGATGGTCTCCACCACGTTGGCGATGACCGACACGGCGATGAAGAAGCCTGTCACGTAGTAGAAGACGAGGGCCGCCGTGCTCGTGTGCGGGTTCTCGAAGGCCCGCCAGAGCCGCTGCCGCAAGGAGCTGCCGGCAGGCAGGGCAGGGCCATCGCCCGCCTGCTCCGCCTCCTCGTCCTCCGCCAGGCGCTCGGCGTTCTCCTTCTTGCGGTCCCGGTACTCTTCGAGGCAGCAGTCGCCCACGAGCTCCGGCACCAGACCGTAGAAAGCCAGCTCTTCGTCGAAGGCCTGGATGCACTCCTGCCGCGGGCAGTGCAGGCGGCCCGTGCGGTAGAAGTTCAGCACGTGCCGGAACATGTCGGGGTCGCGATCGAAGAAGTACTCGCCCGAGTCCGCGTCATAGAAGAATTCCTTCTCCGAACTGCCTAGCAGGGTGTCTGGGTAGCGGTCCAGAGTGTTCTTCCAGGTCTCGAAGCGCCGGCCACTCACGTTCACCACCAGAACCTCATCCCCTCGAGACGCCTTCACCCCGGGCGCAGGAGGCAGGGGCTGCTGGGCCAGGGGCAACCAGCCCACCGCAGCGGCCCTCGCGAAGGGCAGCCACGTGGCCACGCCGGCCGCCATCCTGCCACGCCCCAGGCCCACGGAGACTCGGGGCGGGGGAGGGTGGCCTTTAGGAGAGTGTGGCTGTCTCCAGGATGCTGGGGGCTTGGAGAGGCCCTGGGCCACTCGCACAAGCAAACTGGGGGTGTCTACAGAGGCCGAGAGGAACCAGGAGGAACTAGAGAGACGGGTAGGGCCTTGGAGGGCATTTAGAGGATCCAGGGGGGACTTGGGGGATGTCTTGAGGGACCAACCAAGGAGGAGCCAGGGGACATGGAAAGGAGCAGAAAAAGGGCGCCTGGAGGGGCCAAGAAGGAGCCTAGGGAGTGTTTAGAGCAACTGATAGGGCTCTGGAGGGGTCAGCATGGCCTGGGAGATGTATGGGGTGTCTAGGGGGCAAGAAACATTGGAGAGTTGCCCACACTCTCAAGAGTTCTGAGGGAAGATGGGGCTGGGACCCCTTAGTGGGTGTGGAGAAGGGGCTGGGGCATCCAGAGAAGTGGAAATGGGACCAGAGGTGTTTAAAAGAGGCTAAGAGTGTCCGGGTGCGGGGGGGGGTGTTCTAGAGGGGCCGAGAAAACTGAGGTGGGTCGTCTGCACCTTCAAGACTTCTGGGGAAAAGATTAGGGGACTGGAGCTCCCTCATGGATCCAGGAAATGGGTTCGTGCACGGAAGAGGTGGCTATAGAACCAGAAGGTTGTAAAGAGGCTGCGAGGTGTCTTGGGAGTGCCTAGAGCAGCCAAGAATAGCCTGAGGGGGGGTGTCTACACTCTACAGGAGTTCTGGGGAAGGCAGGCCAGGTGGGGCCCCCTAGAGGGACTGGAGAAGGGAGTAGGGCATCTGAAGGGTTAGATATGGGGCTAGGTTATTTTTCAGAGCCTGAGAGGTGTCTGGGAGCGAGGGGTATGGGGTGCTGCTAAGAAAGTCTGGTCCACCCTCTCAGGAGTTCCTGGGGGGAGGAAAGGGGCCTGAGGAAGCCCCTTGGGACTCAACTGGAAGTTGGGCACAGCCCCAGAGCACCCAGAGGCTGGATAAAGACTAAGATAAGAGGAGGGGGTCCCTCCAAAATGGGCCGGAGGGCGGGGTGGGATGTTAAAGGGAGCTGGGTGTGTCTCAGGGGAGGGGGAGGTTGGCGGGCCTTGCGGAGGGGCGGGTGTGCAGACAGGGGAGGCCGGGGCGAAACTGTGTCCCACCGTTAGGGGCTGGTCTGGGGAAACCACACCCCGAGGGGCTGGCGGTGTGTGCTGGGCAGTGGAAGCAGCGGCGGCAGAAGAGGAGAAGCAGCCACAGCCAGGCCCGGGAGAGAAGGCAGTGCAGACAGGCAGGGGGAGGGGGCTGGGTCCCTGGAAGGACGAGGTCCAGCAGAAGCCCTGGGGACTATCCCAGGATGGGCTAGGGAGTGGGGGCTGGACCAGGGAAGGACAAGGACAGCGCTGTGGGTGGCCCCCTCCTCCTCCCCAAATGGCCGTCCTCACCTGTGTCCCCGCTGCAGCAGCGGCCACAGCGTTGGGGCTGGGGGTACCAAACACCGGAGCTCCTGCCCCCCTCTGCAGAGCTGCCTGAGTTCTCCTCCTCCTCTGGCTCTCTCTCCCCGCCCCTCTGAGCTTGCCGGGAGCTACAGAGAGAGGCAGGGAGGGGCCTCGTAGCTCCCAGAGCCCCCTCCCCTAGGACAGCCTGAGAGGGACCCTGGGGAGACTCCGCCTCCTACAAAGCTGGTTGGGCCTCAGTCGCGTCATCTGGAAAATGGGGGTGGCAGGGAGCTCTGCCAGTTCTCCCCACCTCCTTCCTGGACTCCCCCCTCTTCCTGCCCAGCTCCTACCCCCTCTGCCCCCAGGGGCCCCCACCCCCACCCGTCTGAATCAGCAGCACTTAGCAGATCCGATCGATGGGGAGTCGTCCGTTAATGGCCCCAGAGCCCAGTGCCATGTGGAATGATGCAGCGCTGTGTCCCCTCCCTGCCCCCATGCTGGAGAAGGGCTGAAGAGGGTGGATGGAGGGACGGGTTGGGGGGGCATTTCTCTAGATGGCCAGGCCCCCAAAAATGTTCTGGGGGGTGGGTGCATGGTTTAGAGCCCAGGTCCGATCAAGACTGTTGTGGGACTGGAGCACCATCCTGGTTTCAGACGTGAAATAGGGGGTAAGGGGGGTGTGGATGGGGGCAACCCAGGTTGGGGACAGGCATACCACGTTGTCTCCCTGGGGGTCCCCACTCTGAGGGGCAGCCTGCCTCATCCTTCTGCATTCAGCAGCCTTAGTTCACACCTCCTCCTCTAGAGGACTCTGCTCCCTGGTGGCACAGAGCACTGGGTACCGAGTGCCTCGGCCCACAGATGAGTTCGAACCCCAGCTTTGCTACTGACTTGCTGTGTCCTTTAGCAAGTGCCTTGGGTTGTATCCTCGGTTGTCTGATGGAGTTACCCCAACTTGATAGTGTCATGGGGAGCATTAAATGGAGTGATGTGAGAAGGGACAGCACTGGGCACTGTGTACAGGGGAAGCCTCATTTTTAATAAAGGTGTGGTGCGAGCACTAAGGGGGGACCAACTTTCCCCTTTCAACCAATCTACCCACCCATGTAAGCCTCAGTTCGCTCACTAATCATGCTCCTGATTTGTCCGTTTCTCCATCCCTCCACCCGTCCACCATGCAGCTCCCCATCCGTTCTCCCACCCACACAACCCAGTGCTCTACCCATCCCTCCATCCACTTGCTCGCTCACCCATTTGCATATTCACCCCATCCACCTATTTGCCACCCTATGCTTAAGTACCTCCGGCACCCATCCACCTGTCCATCCATAGCCCTGCCCATCACTTACTTACCTACTCTTCACCCTTCCTTACCCATCCATCCATTCCCCTGGCCATCCATCTGTCCACTTACATCCCCGATCTATCCATCTACCCATTTATTCATCTGATCACCTATTCATCCCTCTGCCCGTGTATTTCCCAACCTCCCCTGTCATTGATCCATGCAACCTTCCACTTACTTATCCACCGGTCCATCTAACCACTTACCTATCCTCTCATCAGCCCACTCTCACCCACACCCATGCCCCCCTCACACCCACCCACATACATATCTGGTAGATATTTCTGGGTCACTCTGGTGGAGGGGCAGGCCCACGGTAACTGGGCAACAGTTGGGGAAGGGTGGGGAAGGAGAGTAGGACTGAAGCCACAGACTTCCCTCCCCATTCCAATGGTGTGACCTCCCCATCCCCGGCACATCCCTCCGGGTTGGAAAGAATGAGAGTAGACAGTCAGTGGGTGGGCCCGTCTGGCCAGATGGTATTTTGGCTGCAGCCTTTACACACACGCGCGCGCGCGCACACACACACACACACGTTGCTAGAACGCTAACAAGGACCGCTCCCCACCCAAACATCCCCGATCCCAAATGCAGAGTAGCCAGGCTTCCAGACATAAATTAAAAAATAAAATAAAATAAAAAAGAGTTGGTCTCTGGGGAGGGAGAGCTCATGCAGAGGTGAAGGCAAAGGCCTCTGGGAGCCAGGGCCAAGAAAGATGAGAAATCCCTGCCCCTCCCCTCAGGATCCCCACTCCCCGAGGGCTTTTGCCCTAAAACAGGGTCACTAACACCAACCATCAGGCCTCCAGCCCCTTTAATGTGCAGTCTCCCAACCTATTTGATTTTGGCCCCATTTTCCCACCAGAGCCCAAGGGCAAGTTGTCCTGGGAGGGGGGAGGGGAGGGAGCAGCTGCAGCCTGCAGGTCTTTAGCTGGCTTCTCCTGGTTCTAGGTCTGGGTCAGGTGACCCCACGCACTCCTTGCTGAGCCGCACAATCTCCTGGGAGAGAACTTCGATGTCCTAAGAAACAAATGAGCCGTCAGGGGCCCGGGCAAAGAGCCAGGGAAGCTCCCTCAGCAAACCTGGGATGTCCTCCTTCCCACCTCATTAATCAAAGCCCTTCTATGTCTAGCCTGGCACGGGAAGGTATTTGGAGAGGCTCAGAGCCCCAGCGGTGGGCTGGGCTTGGAAAAGATGTGTGTGTCAGGGGTGGTGGTGGACGGGGGTAGGGAGCCTCCCCGGGGAGGGGGACCCAGGGATACAGATATGGGAGCAAATCACAGATCGCCCACTGGTGTGGTACAGCCGGAGGAAACCACCTTTCCCTTGCCACTGGCTTCTCTACTAAACGGTGAGCTCCCTTCTCAGAGGCAGGGGCTGGGTCTACATCCTTTCTGACTCCCTCAGAAATGGGGGAAATATTTGGGGAGGGCAGGATGGGCAAGAAGATGTATGGGGTGATCCATGGTAGGCAAACGGGTGGGCTAAGGGACAGTTCAGAGGATGGATGGAGGACAACAGGTAGGTGTGCGGGTCACTAGGCAGGTGGGTAAAAGGTAAGACAAGGGGTGACTGATGAGTAAATGTGAGAGAGAGGGAGGTATGTCAGGAAATAGCAGGAAAGACACAGGGCAGGTGAGTAGATGGGCAAGAAGGGCGGGTTGAGGGGCGAGCTGGGTGAAGTGTGCAGGAACAGATGAGCAGGTGGGTGCAAAGACAGAGGGGAGAGTAAAAGGCCCAAGGAAGAGTAGGTGAGCTGACCGACTAGAGGGTGGGGAGGTGAGGATGATCAGTGAATGGGGTGGGGGTGGGGTGGGGTGGGGTCTGGGCACCTGCAGATGACGGGGTGGGGGTGAGAGGTGGGGACAGGGGGACGGGACAGGGGGCCAGCTGTGTGGCATGGGAGGCAGGCAGCTACGTGGACAGATGGGGAGGCCACACTCGCCTTGTGCAAGTGCATGTTCTTGGTGAGTTGCTCCTCCAGCATGTTCTGGAGCTTCTTGTTCATTTCCCGAAGGTTCTCATCACCTGGCTTCACGAGGTCTCTCAGGACACTGCCCAGCCCACTGCGGTCCGTGTGGCCTGCCGCCACAGACACATCTGCAAGGGCCCAGGCTGAGAACCCCCCCTCGGCAGAGCCAGAGGAGAGACGAAAGAGACAGGGCAGAGAAGCGGGAAACAGAGAAGGGGGCAAAAAGTAGTGGGGAGAAGCTCAGTGAGATAGGGGGCGGAGGCTCGGCTGTGTGAAACCTGGCCATCACTTCCTGGCTGTGCAGCCCTGAGAAATGGGGATAATAACCACCTTGGGGAGCTGGCAAGAGGCCTCTGACTGCATGCGTAGCACAGACACACAGTGCTCGGCCTGCGTCAGTCCATGTTCTTCTGACTAAAAAGGGAAAAATGGGGCTAGGAGAAGATGTGACAGAAAGGAGCAGAAGAAACAAAGATGGAGGGGAGGGGGGAAAAGAGGATAGAAAGTGGGAGAGGAAGAGCTAAGAATCCCTGAAGGGGTACATATATAGATGAGAAACTTCCAGAACAGACACAGTCCAGACAGGCAATAGGAGCAGTGAGAGGAGATGAAGGGTACAGCAGAAAGAAGAGATGGGGAGAGGAGAGAAGGGAGGGAGAGGGGACAGAAAACCACACTGGAGAAAGGAGAGTGAAGCGATGACAAAGACTCAGAAGGGAAGAGCAGTGGGTCCTGCTCTCCCCTCCAACAGCTGTGATCTTGTCAGTACCTTTGCTGAGTCGTGAGAGGAGAGGAGACAGTGGGGAAGGAGGCGGCAGGTCAGATACCGGATGGGGGTAAGGTCGGGGAGGAGGCACTGACCGATCCGGCTATCCATGACATAGGTCTCGATGATGGCACTCTTCCGACAAAGGTCCTCCGCCATGGAGGCACTGCTCACCTCCAGGTGCTTCACCTGCGGGCCAGCCCAGAATGTTCGCACATCATAAGGGGCCCAGCCACACAACCCCCCGGCCCACCCCAGCCTCCCCACCAAGGGTGTGCCAAGTGAGGACAAGGAGGCAGAAGACACCTTCTCCTCCAGCATCCATTTCTCCTGCTGTGTCTCTGCCAGGCGCTGAAAGAGCTCAGCCACTTCCTCATCGGACAGCTCGGCTGGCCGCGGAGGCTGGGCCTGAGGGCTGCTGGATAAGGACTGCAGGGAAGAGGAGGGGAGAGGCCAGCCCAGGCTCAGCACTGTCGCCTGTCCCAGAGAGGATAACGGGCAGAGGGGGGAAGCGGGGGGGGGGCAGTGGGAGTGGAACACCCACGGGAACTCTGGATCTCCCTTGGTCGAAAGGGGGATAAAGGAACCACCACATCATCTCCTTATTGAGAGGATGAAGGGAGAGCCTGTAGCAAACGTGGGCTCATTTCCAGTTGACCGGAAAACTAGAGGGCAGAGGAATAAGCTCAATGATACCACTAGGAAGCCAGCAGGAGAACCCAAAAGGTGGGACACTTTCTGCGGGTCAATTGGCTGGTTTCTTCTACAGGTTGGTGTCATGAAAACAAACAAACAAACAAAAGAACCCAAGTAACAACAGACCACACTAGACTCAAGAGACATAAAGGACATAAAGCAACCAGATGCAACATGTGATCTGAAACTGAGCGCTGGTTTTCATAAAACCAGCAATCGCTATTTTGGGGCCAACCAGGGAAATCTGATTAAGGTCAAACTACTAGATGAGATAAACATTTACAAGATCAGGAAGATAAAAGGCAGCTGGACAAAAACAGGTTCTTTATAATCTCATTTAGGTTTAAGAAAGAGAGGGACGCCTGGGTGGCTCAGTCAGTTAAGCATCTGATTCTTGGTTTCAGCTCAGG